AAAATCGTCAAAAAAGGGCAAAAATTGGCCAAAAATCCAAAAAGTAGCCAAATTTGATCCAATGTATCTCGATTTCTATTAGTCGTAGGTACTTCTATAAAGGCTTATTTTAAAGGAAAAAACATTAACTTTTTTTTCAGTCAGGCAATGCCTATACCTAACTCCTCTCAGAAAAAAGTTGTGGGCCAAAAACCAAAAAGAAAAAAAACGCATTTTTTCGGTTTTTTTACTAGTTTTTTGGCCATATTTTTGTTAAAAATAAATTTTTTGACTTAAAAAGGTCTCATTTCGATTGGAAATTCAATTTGCTACAACTTTTCTGTTGACAACTATTTAGAAAAAATTCATAGTTTTCGAGTAAAACTCAAAAAACTGAAAATACCACCTTTTTACTTCGTTCTCAAAAACGCACCCCTTTAAAAGGTAGCACTCCGCGGTTTTATCATTTTTTAGGGCCAATTGAACATATCAAAGAATAAAATTTCTGTTACGTTGAGTTCCTTTGTACCCTCTTTTTTTTGACATACCTAGTCAATAGCCTATAATTACAATGTACTTACCTAATCCGTCGTCACTAGATTCCCACTCGTCTAGTAAATGAATTTTCCCATCAGCGGTAATACCTATAAATGCAAATACAAGATGTGTACATAGGGACGGATCTATATCTTCCACATCGAAATGGCCAGTTCCATTTCTATATACAGTCCAACTTGTGAAGTAGCAAACGATATTTTTCGCTGAACCTGAAAAAATAATAATAATTCCAATTATGGTTACAATATTTTTTTTCAGAGGCTTGACCTTTAGAAACACATCAATAGCTGATTGTTTCAATTGTGTTCACCACAAGCTCTACCATCCCACAAAAACTAAAGTTTAATTCTTTTAAATAAGATAAATTATGAAACAGTATTTCAAGAGTAACCTATCAGCAAACTCAAGCAGTAATCAATAATGATAACGAAATACACTAAAATAAAGAAGTAATCTGTTTATTCACCTGATTTTTATAACATTACACTTAAGGCAAATCTTCGAGTACTGGTACCAGGATTCTCCTCCATGACGTTTAAAATTTCTAATTCAAAGATTCCAGTCACTTGAATGTTGAACCAATCTGACAAACATTTTCTTATTCGCTACTTACAAGTCGGCGTAATCTATCTATAGTCTGTTTGGAAATGAAAGAGAGTAATAAAACCCCGAGATAAGAACCAGCCATGGGCGTGCTAATATTTCGTTTCAGGTAATTATCGGGTAACACTAATGCTAACAGGTAATGGGTGTACGGTGTACATTAGTATATTTTACTGGATACATCATAGGGCAGGAGCCAGTGTATTGTGACAGATCAATCCAGTCTTAGAGCTGAATATACGAAGACGTGCTAGTGCAGTAGAGTAAAATTCGACTTGTGTTTAGTGACTATTGTGCCAGTGGATATAATATTGTTTGGGTAAAATGTCGAGCTTATCAGATTACGTACCTGCTAAACGCGTGAAAAGATGTGCGCTGTCTCAGAATGAGAAGATTATTATATTAAATGTATTTAATGCATTGAAACACCAAAATCCTACCAACAGTGTTGACGACATCGTGGAAAAGTGTTCCAAAATGACAGGGATTGGAAAATCGACTATCTACAGACTTTTAAAGGAAACAAAAAATGAACAAGATACTGTAAATCCCCCAAAATCATCTACAGGGAGGTCAAAAGTCGTTATAGATGATTTCTTCAAAAATGTCATTCGCAGAAAAGTACACTCATTTTATTTTAAAAAAGAAATACCAACGCTAAACAAAATTTTAAGTGAACTTTCAGAGGACAACGATTTGCCAAAAATCAGTAGAAGCAAATTATGGGCCGTCTTACGAGAGTTGAATTTTTGCTGGGAAAAGCAGAACAGGAAGTCAGTTCTTATCGATAAAGATGAAATTATTTGTTGGCGAAGATCCTACTTAAGATCAATTAGAAAATTCCGTGACGAAGGGAGGAATATTTATTATCTAGACGAAACTTGGGTCAACGAGGGATATACTGTAACAAAAGTATGGCAAGATAAAAATGTAAAAAGTTTTCGACAAGCATTTTTGGATGGACTTTCAACAGGGTTCAAGGCACCTTCAGGTAAAGGGCGAAGATTAATAGTGACACATATAGGTAGTGCCAGTGGTTTTGTAGATGGCGGTTTACTTTTATTTGAATCTAAAAATACAGGTGACTATCACGAAGACATGAACGCAGATGTTTTCGAAGAGTATTTTACACAGATGTTGGATCTTATTCCTCCGGGGTCTGTAATTGTCATGGATAATGCCAGTTACCATTCACGGCAGACCGAGCGGACGCCTACGACTGCTTGGAGGAAAGCCGATATAATTCAATGGTTATCCGGAAAAAACATTTCTTTTGAAACAAATATGGTGAAAAAGGAACTTTTGACACTTGTCAATCTTAATAAAGATCAGAAAAAATATGTTATCGATGAAATGGCAACAAATCGCCAAATAACGGTACTACGGTTACCACCTTATCACTGTGAACTTAACCCAATCGAATTAGTCTGGGCGCAGGTAAAAGGAGATGTAGCGCGAAATAATACGACGTTTAAATTAAGTGACGTGAAAATTTTGTTAAAAAATTCCTTGGAACGAGTAACTGCAGATAACTGGCAAAGATGTATACATCATGTACAAAAAGAAGAGGAGAAAATGTGGGAACTCGATAATTTAATTGACGTTACTGTGGAACCTATCGTTATCAATCTAGGAGACGAAGATAATTCATCAGAATATTCAGAGGATGAATTTTAATATACCTACTTTTTTATTTTCTTTATTGTACATTTATACAACACTACATTTACTCACCATAATTTGAATTTTCAAAATACATATATTTTTGTGTGGAATAAAAGTCTATTCATTAAATTTAAATAAATATTTTGATAATAATATTGAATAATTTTATTTGAATTACTAAAAACCCTCTTAACCCGGTTATGATGCTTAAAGTAGCCTCATGTTTTGAAATGCTGTTTTTATATTGTTTACTTATAAGAGAAATGGACCGAGAAATTGAAGCGGCATAGACAAAGACGGATTGTCGGGGATTAAATTTTAGCTACCTGCTACAATTTAGTACAGTCCGATCGCACAAAGTTTTTTTAAAAGTACACCTCATCTATACCGATAATACATAATATAAAAATATTGAATATAAGCACCAGTACTACATTTATTTACGATTTGCATACATAATGAGCTTTTATTACTCTCTTTCATTTCTAAACAGACTTATAATATCGTTTTCTTTGCTCCTGACAAAAAGTAGGTTCTATATTCTAATCCGCTTTTTCATAATGTACAAAAACTTGAAATTAATACCTACCCAAAATGTCACTGTATAGCCACTGAACACTGAAATAAATAACTTTATAACTTATACCACATAAAAGCACCTTATGTACAAACTGGCCCAAACCGATAAAGTGGAAGACTAAACAAATATGTAACCAATTGAAACAGTTTTCGGCCATTCCAACTTTAGGTCAGGTGCGAGGACAGTCACTTATCCGCGCCTTCAAAAGCATACCGCAATGAAACAGCCGTTTTTTAGTGTCTGACGCTTCGTCCACATTAACATAGAAAAAACATGGTGATTTTATAATAACAAGTCGTAATATTAAATTAATCTGTTTTCACAAAATTATGTTTAATTAGTTTTGTTGTTTACCAGTTGATTAAAAAAATATATTTGCAATTAGTAATGTATGTCTGTACTACTATTAGTTAATATTTAATGAATCATGTAATCATTTTGTTTTTTTTTAATCTATAGAATGTTTTGTTTTTAATGTTCAGCCCTTCAATCACAGTGATATCAAACAAATATGGCTACTTTAAAATAACACATTGGCAAGTTATATAAATGTAATCTGTTTTACTAAATTATTTTTCATTCTATTTATTTGACTAAAAAAAAAAACAATTATTTCGGATTCATGTTCAGGGGAACTCTTACTATTGCCCCTAAAAAACTGACCACTTAAAGTTACACCTTGTATACCGGGTGATTTAGTTTGATAATCACGGCCTCGTATCTCTTTTATTTTAACAAATAGCTATAACAAACCCTATATATTTTTTAATCGCCGCTCAAACTCTATCAATGACATTATTAGATCGTCTCCATGGTAACATATGTCAAAATTGCTATAGTCAAATGTTTTTGTTCAAATGGCACACTATATATTTTTTATCAATTCTGGAAGATATTTTTTTCTCCGTTCAGCTATATAAAGAAGTCTATAGTTTCATTAGAAATATTGCTAGAAAAACAGCTTCAGTAGCTTTATTCTGAAAAATGATAGCCAGCTGCGGAAACAACAGCATTTTAACGTTTCTAAATAACGGTTTGTCAAAATAATTGACATTTTGTACCTACCTATTCTATCTATAACTAATTATAACTTGAATACTTACAGTCACCAAGAAAAACTAGATATGATTTTAATTTATGAAGAGGGCCGAAAGAAAGCTAAAGCTGCCAGATATTTATACCGACATCGTTTTCCGCAGAAACAACTTCCATCAGATAAAATTTTCGGAAAGTTAGCTAGGAATTTGACGGCAGATGGAAGTTTTCAAAAGAAAAGAAGAGTTGTTAAACCCAGAAGGGCAAGAGATGAAGAATATTCGATAAAGATGTTAAATGACCTGCCAGATCTCCGCATCTCACACCTATAGATTTCTTTCATTGGCCTTACCTAAATGATATTGACGACCTTAAAAACAGAAGAAACACTAGAATGTGTTTGTAGAGAGGGAGTGATAAACAGAGCTATTCTGTGCTTGGAAGCAAATGGAGGTCATTTTGAACATTTGAAATAAGTATTGTTTTAAATTGTTATATTATTATTATCACATTAAAAACTAAATATGTTATTTTAAAAAACATAGTAACTTGTTTCCGCAGCTGTCTATCATTTTCAGAATAAAGCTTCATCTTTTTTCCTGTTTTTCTAGCAATATGTCTAATAAAACTATAGACTTCCTTACATAGCTGAACGCAGAAAAAAATATCTTCCAGAATTGATAAAAAATATATATATAGTGTACCATTTGAACAAAAACAATTGACTATGGCAATTTTGACATATGTTGCCATGGAGACGATCTAATAATGTCATTTGATAGAGTTTGAGCGGCGATTTATGAGCCCAGGCTCATAATAGTTCGGCCGGCCAACGTTTTTAATTAAATACTTGAATAAATTACAAATTCTACCAAAATGATGAAAGATTTCCTTAAAACTATCTTATTTGTAATAAAGTATAGACTATCAATTTACTAAATTTAATCATTTTGACAAAATTCAAATTGAGGAAAACATAATTAACAAAAATGCAATCCAACCAATGGGTCATTATAGTTCGGTCACTTATCATATCTGCCATGAAACTGATATACTCTATCAAAACAAAACACATACTGAATAATTCAACAAAATATCTGTCATTATTAGTTTTACCCACGTTTTGCTTCAGATTTAACGTAAAATGCCTCGTGGTAAACCTCTAAGTAAAGATTTACGAGTTTCTATTATAAAAACCCATGAGAAAAGTATTTCGGCCCGCCGAATATCAGTTTCTCATTCAATTCCGCGTTCTACAGTGCAGGATATTATTAATTTATACAGAAGAACCGGCGGAGTCGACCAAAAAGTCAAAACCGGCCGACCATCTACAATTACAGAAGCAAATAAAAGAGCTTTACGCAGAATAGTAAAAACAAATCGGCGGTCCAATACTAAAGAAATAACTGCACTATGGAGGGACAGTATAGCAAAGCCTATTTCAATGTCCACAACGAAAAGAACTATTCGAAAAATAGGATTCAAGTTTTACAAGGTAACTTTTTATCTTTTTTTTCTTGTTTAAATTCTTGGCAATTTTTTATTTTTTTCCAATAGGCAAAAGAAAAACCTCAATTAACAAAACTGCAGAGGAGAAACAGGTTAAAATGGGCACGAGAACATAAAAATTGGACGAATCAACAATGGCACAGCGTAATTTGGAGCGATGAGTCAAAATTTGACGTTTGTGTAGGTGACACACGAAAACGGGTTTTGCGTACACCTTCAGAGGCCTATCATAGCGATTGTTTAGTCAAAAAAGTAAAGTTTCCAGCATCTGTTATGGTCTGGGGTTGCATGTCTGGTAGAGGTGTTGGTAAACTGCATTTTGTTGATGGAATTGTTAACGCGCAGAAGTACAGAGATATTCTGGAAGAGAGTCTGTTACCATCTGTTGAGATGTGTCAAACGGCGGAAGGGCATTTCATATTCCAACAAGGCGGTGCACCGTATCATACGGCAAAAACTATTAAAACGTGGTTGCAGAATCATCAAATACCAGTATTAAAATGGACGTCTTCCAGCCCAGATTTATCTCCTATTGACACCTTATGGCACAATATGAAAAAACAGCTTCGGAAACATCCAGCACGTTCAGTGCCTGAATTAAAAGTCACAGTACTGAATATTTGGGATAATATTCTACCAGAAGAATGTGCTTTGTTAGTAAATACAATATCTAGCAGAATTAAAGCAGTTATTAAGAACAAAGGCGATGTAACTCAATATCAAAGAGTGGCCGAACTTTTATGACCCCTGAGACGGATAAAGTTTTCTATTGTGTAACCATTAGTCGATATATGTATTGAATAAAATGTTCATTTTTGTAACTAAAAAGTTTATATTTTACTGTAGTTAAAGCGATTTTCAGAAATATTTCGTTATTTCTGCATAATTCATAGATTATTAAAGTATTTAGTTGAAAACGTTGGCCGGCCGAACTATTATGAGCCTGGGCTCGTAAAAATATATAGGATTTGTTATAACTAATTGTTAAAATAAAAGAGATACAGGGCCGCGAATACCAAACTGATTCACCCGGTATATCGTATAACCCGGTGTCCAAAAAAATAAGGTGATTTTATTTAAAAAATCTTTATTTATAGTTCCAAATCAATTTCGCCACCTTCAAAATAACCCCCATCCGATACAATGCACTTATACCAACGGTTTTTTCCAACTCTCGAAACAGTCCGGTATGGCCTTCAATGCCTTCGTCGATTCGGCTTTCTTTCTTCTATCGAGTCGAAACGGTGTCCACGGAGTGATTTTGAGTTTAGGGAATAGCCAGAAGTCACTCGGTACTAAATCAGGCGAATACGGTGGTTGCGGAAAGATACGAGTTGAATTTTTTACGAAATGGCCTCGAATTATCAATGCCGTGTGAGCCTCGGTGCATTATCATGATGCAAAAAACAAAAATTGTCTGTCCATAATTCCGTCATTTTGCAGCGAATAGCATCACGCATAACACTCAAATAATATTCCTTGTTAACAGTTTGGCCGGTTGTTAACAGTTTGGCCAGAAAACTGTCAACATGACCTTGATTTTTGAGTGACTGGCGTGGTTTTTTCGGTTTTGGTTCACCTTCTGCACAATATTCACTCGATTGATCGGCTGTTTCCAGGTCGTAATCGTAGATTCAAGTCTCGTCTCCTGTAATGATGCATTTTATGACGTCTTGGTAGTCGGAAATCATTGTTTCACAGATGTCAACGCGACGCTGTTTTCCAAAAAGTTCAGTGGAACCAAACGAGATTTTACAACAAATCTTTTAAAATGGTATTTACCGAACTTTTTAAAATGCCAACAGTATCAACAAGGTCTTTTATGGTTAATCGGCGGTTTTCAAGCACAAGATCTTTTATTTGGTTAACGTGTTGTTCATCAGTTGACGTTGATGGTCGTCCGGGGCCCTCTTCGTCCATAACGCTTTCTCTGTCTTCTGTAAAGTCTTTGTACCACCTGTAAACATTTTTTCCCGACATAACCTCATCGCTAGGCATTATGTAACATACCTACCCAACGTTTCCGGGGCAGAATATTCATTCCGCAAACAAAATTTAATACGAATTCTTTGCTCAACAAAATCAGACAGTGAAAATCGATAAACTCACTTTCGTATGTTTACAAAAACACTAGTGGCTCTGCAGCAATTGAATATATTGAATTGAAACTTAGCATAGATATCAATAACAGTACTACCAACCTACAAAAAAATAATTGTATGCTTTCATAACACCCACAAACTTTAAATAAGTAAATCACCTTATTTTTTGGACACAGTAGTATATACTCGTATATAAAATTTGAAAAGTGACTATAGTAGGATCGTATTCGATGCAAAGTAGAGCAAAAAATTGTCGGCCTTTTATCAAAGGAAAATCGTGTCATCATTTTTAGGAGGCGTAAGATGAACCATTTGAAATTTAAAATGAAATTGAATGTAAAATCTGAAATACCGCTGCATACGCACTGTGTTCTGGTAGTAGCTGTAGTCGCCCAGGTGCATCGAGTGTACGAACTGGTCGGTTATACGTCAAATACTAACCTGGCGAGCTTTGCCGTCAATTAGAGAGCGCTTCCAAAAAACAAGTAAACAACAGTGGCGCGTACAGAGGTAAAATGTAGTACATATGTGGAATTTAGGAAACAAATTGGATTTATAATAAATTACATTTAAAATAAATAGTTTATGAGAATAAANAAAATTTGACGTTTGTGTAGGTGACACACGAAAACGGGTTTTGCGTACACCTTCAGAGGCCTATCATAGCGATTGTTTAGTCAAAAAAGTAAAGTTTCCAGCATCTGTTATGGTCTGGGGTTGCATGTCTGGTAGAGGTGTTGGTAAACTGCATTTTGTTGATGGAATTGTTAACGCGCAGAAGTACAGAGATATTCTGGAAGAGAGTCTGTTACCATCTGTTGAGATGTGTCAAACGGCGGAAGGGCATTTCATATTCCAACAAGGCGGTGCACCGTGTCATACGGCAAAAACTATTAAAACGTGGTTGCAGAATCATCAAATACCAGTATTAAAATGGACGTCTTCCAGCCCAGATTTATCTCCTATTGAGACCTTATGGCACAATATGAAAAAACAGCTTCGGAAACATCCAGCACGTTCAGTGCCTGAATTAAAAGCCACACTACTGAATATTTGGGATAATATTCTACCAGAAGAATGTGCTTTGTTAGTAAATACAATGTCTAGCAGAATTAAAGCAGTTATTAAGAACAAAGGCGATGTAACTCAATATTAAAGAGTGGCCGAACTTTTATGACCCCTGAGATAAATAAATTTTCTATTGTGTTACCATTAGTCGATATATGTGTTGAATAAAATGTTCATTTTTGTAACTAAAAAGTTTATATTTTACTGTAGTTAAAAGGATTTTCAGAAATACAACCGAAACGAAACTGACCACGCCAAGCCGGCACGCGCGCCGCCACAACAAACACAAGACACAAGTCATATGAGGGAGGGTGAAGGGAGTAATAAATGTATTGTTGCCCTGCCGCCCAATGTGCGAAGGAGATGCCTTTGTTTTTCATTTTGTCCTTCATAAATATATAACTATTAATCCATAATGCATAAAGAAATTATTCAATTTCCAAAACCCCTAAAACGTGTTGCACTGATTCCTTTGACAGGCAATGATTTATTACTTTGCATCGAATATCATCCTACTATAGTGAGGCAAACTTTTACTAGTTTTAAAGTTAAACGACGACGTATTTTATTTATCTGAGGTCTATGATAATCTCAATTGTTCTAAATACCGATTGGTCAACTAGGTGAGATAACTGAGATCTCAGATAAATAAAATGGGACAGATACGACTTATGACTGAACCACGAAACTTAGATTGAATAAAGAAATGTCATTGCTTAAGGTTCTGTCGAAGTACATGCACACGTGCAATTTTAAAGAGTTAAGGAACAAATAGGAATGCCAAAAATTAAGATGCGAAAACTTGTATCAGTATTAAATTATCCTATGATACTCGATTTACTATCATACATCATACTATCCCTCGAATTTTGGTAGTCACACGATAAATTATTACACGATCGTCAACTACTATCGATATTGTACATACAATGATAAGGTACAATTAAAATTTAAAAAATATATACCTGACACAGAAACGTTTACCGAAATTTCAAGAGCAGTGGCACAAGCTGCGGCAACTACCAGAAACACTGCTAAAACTTTCATTTTTCTAGTAACTTTTGACGATTACTACATAGCTTTATTAATTGCATTGAATTTATGTACCATTGGTTTACATATACTACTGCGCATACTGTCAATTCCCTACCCCCACTACTCTGTCTTGTGATTCACCTGTCTACAAAATAAGTAATATTGACAATTACATACGTAACCTCCCAACCACCATTTAGAACTATACAGTAAATACATGTTATATCTTTATGTCTACTGAGCTGATCCTATCTACATTTTAAGCAATTGTTTGCAATAACATCACGTAGTCATCTAAATCACTGTAGTTTCGAATGACCCTGATTGACAAGCCGACACGTCTTTTCTCGCACCTATTGCTGATATAAATGAACAAAACTTAATGTTATGAACAGACCAAATAATGTTAGACTAACAAAAGACCGACAAGTAATGAAATAATTTTCTAGTTCTACTTTGCTTAATCCACAAGGGAGGCTTTAATTTAGGATGGAATCATGCTAGGAGTGTTAACATATTTTAAGGTTGACACGCGTCAGGGATCTAACCTAACACATGTCAGGGACTATTAAGCTGAACCGAACTGAGAGATCTTCGGCGTAATTAAGCCTAAAGTCAAATCGGCAAGGTAAAGCATACCTTTTACCATTATACATACATATAACAGATACGTATCTGTCTCTGATCTGAAGCTTCGCATCGATCAATTTATTCGATACCTATCTAGCGGCACCCTAATGCCTGTCCTGTCTACCTGGTGTGCCGGTGAACAATTCAGTATTATTGCCGAGGGACGTTAGCCGTGCATTTCATTGTCGTTTGTGCGCATTTGAGTGAGTTTGACTCTTTGCTTGGTCGAGTGTACAGCATGTGTTGTTATAGCAGTCAGTAGCACTGTGTATCGTAAGCATAGGGCGGCACACGACTTGACCATAGATTTAGTCTTTTTGTGCCACTACAACACGTTTTACCGCTTACTAACATGATAGAGATTACTACCGTTTATTTATTTAATTGTCGCCACAAAGGTTCCGCTGTCTAGTAATGCATAAAGAGGCGAGGTCAACACCATAGTAAGAAAAAAGGAACTTGTTTTGAAACAAGATAGGCCGGTCAAAATCGACACAAAAAATCGCTAAATTCGAAAAACGTTATGTATCTCTGATTTTTTAGTATGTTGTTTGGGCCCATTAGGGCTATGTATACCCAAGTTTGCAACTCTCAAAAAGTTGTGGACAAATTTTTACACACCAAAAAACGCGAAATTTTTAGACTTGTTTCAGATTCTGCTCTATATCTCCTAATCCATGCATTTTTCGTCGAAAGCTATTCTATATGTTTTTTAAGAGCATCAAATTTGTGACAAATTAAGCCGAACCGGAGCTCTATAGTTTAATTGGTTACCGAATTAAGGCACTTTGAAAATGGGCCAGTTTTTCCAGAAATTGAAAATTTTAGTTTTAGACCTTCTTTGGACCGAAATTGCGTCGAAATTGGTATGTGCGGTAGTGGTGATACGATGCAGCCTCTGTGGTTGGGGGCAAACGGGCCAGATTCGCTTTGGCGTTGGCTGCTGTCTTCACAAAAGTACGGAAGCCACTTCAGACAAAATCAAGCCCTAGTGGACCAACCAAGAATTTTCCTCCAGATAGATGCCACACACCAACAAGTCGCAGCAGCCTGTGACAAGTGCCTAGTTGCCCTATATGGAGGAGACGAAACGAAAGACACCCTCAACGATGTACGCTTCCTATAAATTATATTCTACAAGTTCTACTCGTAGGATCAATGGTTTCGACGCAATTTCGGTCCAAAGAAGGTCTAAAACTAAAATTTTCAATTTTTGGAAAAACTGGCCTATTTTCAAAGTGCCGTAATCCGGTAACCAATTATCTATAGAGCTCCGGTTGGGCTTAATTTCTCACAAATTTGATGCTCTTAAAAAACGTATAGAATAGCTTTCGATGAAAAATGTATGGATTAGGAGATATGAAGCAGAATCTGAAACAACTCCAAAAATTTCGCGGCTTTTGGTGTGTAAAAATTTTTCCACAGCTATTTGAGAGTTGCAAACCTGGGTATACATAGCCCTAATGGGCCCAAACAACATACTAAAAAATCAGAGATACATCATGTTTTGCGAATTTATTGTCGATTTTGACCGGCCTAAAGAACGCTTATAAGATTTCATAATCACTGACCAAAAACAAAATAGTGAACCTTTGGAAATCGTTTCTTATTTTAATTTGAATCATTACTATGTGCAATGTCTCAATTGGGTTACTGTAAATTAGAGCTGAGGTACAAAAACTATTTATATTTTTATAAATTGATGAAAGTATCCAAGAATTCGGAAAATGATTAAGAAATACAATTAAATGTTGACATGGTCTCAATTACAAATCGATGTTCAAAAAATTCAACCCAATTTATTTCTAAATTTTTTTAATCATGAGTAAATTAGTTAAATAGTAGTTTTCCTTCTCGAATTGATTTAAGCAAGTAAAATTGTTAGGCATACATACATTGAAGTCATATAAAGAAATAATTTATCAACTGTACGTGTATGCTAAAATTATTTTAGTCACAGTTTGAGTTATATTATTAATGACGATTAAACGCGTAAGTACCTTTAGAAGATTAGATTACTGTAAAAAAAATCCATTTGTAGTGAATCTAATGAAAAGCACGTTTAAAGTGTTAGAAACATTTATGATTTAAAAAAAGTAGATTTTGGAATAGAAACTGACTAATACAACACTAAATTCTTCTGTTTAAGGCTCGGTCAAGTAGGAGGCGGACCAAGCCGCCTGTCCGCCGCGAACTTTGTGTAAGATAAGATTGTATTATCCTGGTTAACTAGAAATCGGTCTGCCGCAGAAGACCAATCTAGTTCGCAGCGGATTAAAATGGTTGACGATACGGAAAAATTAATAGATCTAGAGCGGAAGTGTGTTTTTTTATATGATGTTCGTCATCCTGACCATCTTTTTTCATTTATTTCATGCACCCATTTTCTTTTTCATCTTGCTTGACTCAAAGCGAACAGAAGAAGCTATTCTTCTTCGTGAGAAGAACTGCTGACATGTTGAATTGAGTACAGCAAAAGAAAACACGAATTCAAGAAAGAATGTATTGGAGAAAACAACAGACACTCTTGACAATGACTGTTTTCATACTTGTTCCTCTCGATTTGTCTGCATTCTGTCTGACCCTATTCCGCGGCGGACTGCGGTCGTTCCGTTCGCGTAGACCCGCCTCCTGTTTGACCGAGACTTTAGATTGAAATCATTTTAAAGAAAAAATATAAAAGATTAAAACATATTTAAAGAGTAAAATTTATTGTATATCTGTATAATAAATAATAAAATAGTTGTAAAAAAATAATTTCACTTCTTAAACGGCAATTTCAAGTTTTGCATTTATCGAACTTTGCTCTGAATTTGATGCGTAATTATCAATCTATATTTTTCCTCTTTGTCCCAATTCCTCCATTTCTTTTAACCAGTCCTCTCTATCCTTTATTTCTTGCATTACTGAAATTAAAAAACAACATAGTATTGCATACGTGCTAAAGTTCGTACCTTTTGTATGGTAGCTTTTTTAAAACGGTAATATTTCGGTCATTTCAAAGAATAAAATTTAATTTATGTAGTAACGAGCATTATAAACAATGCAATAAAGAACAAACAAATATACTGATAAAAATTATTAAGGCAACTGAACCCACATGCGAAGAATACCTATATGTAATAAAGGTCCGCTGATCAACATCATAAAATCCAGGAGCGCTTTGAGGATATTTATACCGTGAGCGGCAAAAAGATGGAATATACCTGTATTTATGTAAAAATCAGATGTTCGTTATTTGAAAAATCGCTCGGACCCGTCGAATTATATTTTTAGTTGCGCATTTTCTGAAGAATTTTGATTTATACAGGGTGGCCCAAAAAAGAGTTATGAAATCAAGGCCAACTTTTTTAAACGGAAACCCCACTGTTTTGTATTTTTATTCAATTCTCCATGGCATTCTGATCATTTTTTTAGTAACATAACCTTTACCTATCTTTAACCGTTTTCGAGATAATGGCGTCTGAATATATACTTCTGCAAAAAATTCGGGATATATGAATGGTGTTACGAGTATGGCGCCAAACAATTATATATTTGAATTTGCCCTAACCACAAGACAGCCATTTTTATCGTTTCGATAGCCCGAAGGCCTTTCGCGTTTACGGGCGGATTTAAGTTTTTCGCGTGTGGCTGAAACCTTTTTTCGTTGGCAAGGAAAATCCAATGATTACCCTTAAGTAATCGTTTAAGATAGACCCCTACACGACACGGGTACCTGTATCAAGCCAGCATATTTAACTGTGTATTGAATCGAAACAGACGACGCGATTTGAAATGCAAAAACTCAAAAGCAACTTACCCTTCGTATGCCTTGTTTCTTCGTGTCTCTGTCGTTCTGTTGTCTATAAAAATAATAATATAAAAAATTAATTCTTTAGATTTTTTAGCCGTCATCTTGTTGTTGTCAAATAATTTGTAACTTTTATAAAGACCCTGTAACTATTGTTTTTTCTCAACTGCTAAAATAACACCATGTATAATGGTGGTTTTAAATACCAGAATTTTTCTTCATTAGATAATAAACGTTTAAGTGAATTTGTTTAATGTACCACTAATTTTGGTAGCTGGTTTGATTGTCTTAGAATTTAATGCTAAAATTTTTAATTGTATAATTTTTTCCTATGAAAAATAATTTGCCTAATTGCAGTTTAAGATTAATGCTTTAAATACGATTTTTATGTTGAAAATGCGCATATATTATATATATTCTTTATCCAAAAGGACAAACAAAAAGCACCACTCACTATAATAGTCCGAGAAACTTTAAATAAAAAACAAGTAGAGCAAACTCATTGATTTTATGACTAATGATGCAGTGTTAAGCATCTGCGATTTAAAAAAAAAATGTATATATTATAATAGTTTGTTAATTTTATATTTACTTGTATGTATTAGTCGGCGGTGATTCTAAATAATCTCAAATCGCTTATTTGTGACGTTGGCGTTTGGGTCACCGTCCGACTGATATTACTTAGTCAAAAATCGTGTCGTATAATCTGAACGAGCGAACTTCAGATTTCGACTATCTTTCGAATCCAAGTTCCAACGCCCGGAGCAGCGCTCCAGTACAAGCCCTCTATGTAAAACCTGAAGCTATAACAAACATGTTCCACAATGTTTCCAATCCCGAGCCCAAAGCCGCTGTTAGAGGAGAAAGTAAAACTTTCACCTATGTTTCCAATCCAAACCTCAAAATCCAGCACAAAGCTCCAAGCCCGATTTCCAACATAGCAAATCGAAGGCAAAGCATTAACTTACGCAATGTTTCTAATCCTGAAGCCGAAGTCGCTGTCAGGACGGAAAGTAAGATTTTCACCCAAGTTTCCAATCCGAATCCAAGAATCCCGGACAACGTCCTAAGTCCGATATCCAGTAACACAAACCAAGTCCTAAGCCATAATTTACACAAAGCTTCCATTCGCCAAGCCGATATCAATACCAGGGCGAAGACGGAAGAAATCGACAAGGTTTCGAATCCGGCTACTATCCAGCCGCCTCGAACCAAGAAGCAGCAGTATCC